CAAGACAAAACAAGTAAAATTTTTAAAGTTTCATTTAAAGGAAAAAAAAAGTATTGTGTTTATGTTAACCTAGAGGTAATGGTAAAAGATGAAATTCAGGAGTGGGTTAGGGTTAGTACAAAGATGAACTACATCATTGTAATTGTAGTACATTTCAAACTCAATAAAGGTTCGTAATTAGCTACTGATCTTAAAAATATGTTAAAATATTGCTCCCAACCACAGAAACAAATGACTTGTGAGGAACATCCTTAGTGTTTGAAACTTAAATCACTTGTAGTTCTGATAAATACTCTTTGGTGGTGCATTATTGTTGGCCTTTGTCTCACCTCATAAATAGCATGACAACCCATGGTTTTGTGGAGATCCCATGCTTAATATTATGATCAATAGATATTTGGAGGAAGAAGCTGAATAATTGACTGAATTACATAGCTATTAATCAAAGGAGAACAAGAAAAGAGTAACAGTTAAAATTGGTTAGAAAAATAATGTTTACTTAGTATTTTTATTATTTACAAATCTTGATCTCAGAAACTATATATCATTAAAAATATGATTTTTTTGATATTTATTTCAATTTTAAGCTCCACAGACAAGATGAAAACTCTGGTACTGGCATCATACGGACTTTACATCTTACGGACTTTACATCTTATGTGCTCATTATTTTTCCTGTTCTTAATTCTTGCCTTAAGTTCACCCCAGACTATTATTCAGGAACTTTGGTGCTCTGATGGCTTTTGATGTTTGGAGACTAACATAAACATGGGGAAATATTTTGATCATTTCAGTAGATTGTGAAATATTAATTTTCATATTTCATGCTTCCCACTAGGGAAAGCAGAATCAAAGTGTATACATAGTGAAAAAACCGAGTATGCACTGATTATGTAGACAGTTTGGATATGGCAATGACTCATATTACTTATGATGAGTGTTGAATATTATTTATGATGAAAGCAATTTGAATTTGTAAACTATTAGCGAATCTCTCTTTTTTAGAAATATAAAGTCTTAATGAGATGTGTACTTCTTAAAGCAAATAAGATGAAATGTCTCTCTTTCTGAAGAAGGTTAGAAAGAAAGACAAGATATGGTGGCCTTATCATTACCTCCTGCCCCCAAACCAGAATTACCTTTGAGATATCTTCGAATCCATACAATAGAGTTTGAAAACGCGACCTCAAATGGAGAAGGGAGAGGAGTAAGGTGGGAGGGAGGTTGTGTGTGTGCTTCTAAATTATCTTTCTCCTTATTAATCTGAAGAGGAAAAGAGACATTTAGGATGTGAAGGCTCTCCTCAAATATACTGGATGATAAGTACCTTCTGGGAACAGAATTTATTTTGCGCAGCCTATTTGTGTAGATTTCAGACAAGTGGGTTGGAGAATGCCTGGGTATAGATACCGCCTTTCTCCACGGGAGGAAGAACTTACTGCCTCAGATGGAATTGGCTGCCCAAGGACAGACTGAGCTTCTGATCAGTGCCTCTTACATGCAAATTTTGTTTCCAAGTTTTTTAGCGGTCATGCCCTCGGGGCTATTAGCTAGCGTGTGAGTCTCATGATTCTTTCCAGACCTCAGATTCTGAGCCTCTAATGGAATACCAGACTTAAAACCGTGATGTTTATCTTGAAAACTTTTTTTCGTAATAACTTCAGGAAGACAAATGAGATTTATATTTATAGCTCAAATAAATATTTCTCCCGAAGTCATACAGTATTTTAAGTGTAACATATCCAGTATTTTAAAAACAGAAGTCCGGATTCGGGGTCTATTCTGATAGCCCTTGTCCATGTGGGCCGTGTAATAGCCAGTCCACCGCGGCTGCCACGGATTGCCGACACTGGGTTCCTTTTGTAGAGAAGTTAAAGGAGCCTCCAATCTATAGACGTGTAAGAGTCTCCAGTTTCATGGAACAAATCAAAGTCTAATTTCCTTCAGTTTAACAAAGTCTACTAAACTTTTCTGATCTATTGTATTCCTCCGTCTTGCTGTGAAATCATTCTATTCTCCAATCCAAACCTGTTTCTTCTAGGTCTCTGGATCTTGCTTTCTTGTGAGTTTGTTCTTACTTCTTGGGTAAGCATAGATTCTTTCTTTTAATACAGAAAGTATTATTACACTTTGCAGCTCATGGCGATTCCTCCTTGTATGCATTTAAAATCCTTTGTCATTCTCTGCTTACTCTAGAAATTGACCTTTCCCAAAATAATCTCTAGTTTAGGAGAGGTCACTATTCCCAAGTCTATTTCCCTGTCCTGCCCTGTGCTTCCTTCTCAGAAACTTCATTCAGTATGAGCCCATGCTCTGGCTGTAGCTTAGCTCTTTGATCTCATTCCAGAACATTCTTCTCCCAGCCTACTACTTATAGATTCATTGGCCATTGTGCTGTTTCTTTCTTTCTTTCTTTCTTTTTTTTTTTTTTTTTTTAAGATTTGTTTATTATTTATTTGACAGGGGGAGAAACTTGAGAGGGAACACAAGGGAGAGGGAGAAGCAAGCTTCCTGCTGAGCAGGAAGCCCGATGTGGAGCTTGATTCCAGGACCCTGGGATCTTGACCTGAGCCGAAGGTGGATTCTTAATGACAGCCCCAGGTGCCACCATTGGGCTATTTCTTGACTAGACCTGAGGTAGTTCCAACCTGAGAAATTGCAGCAGCCTGGAATGCTCTTTACTCCTGACTTTTCTTTTCTTTTCATTTTCTTTCTTTCTTTCTTTTTTTTTTTTTTTTTATGGCTAGCAACTTCCAATCTCATTGAGATCGCAGTTTAAATTTTTACTCCCAAACATAAATAAGTCTTCCATAAAACCTGAAACAGGGTTTCCTTACATATTATTCTATTTAAACTTTCTGTAGATTACTTATATTTCTAAACTTTTTAAAAAATTGCTTACCTGTTAGTATATTCTGTCTTCTACACCAGAATAGATGATTCATTCAAGTAGACATGTGCTCTCTTTTGCTCACCAGAATCTCCACCACCAAGAAAAAGACCTAGCACGCAATCTAAACTCAATAAATATTTGTCGAATGAACAAATAAGTGCATGCTCCATCACTCCAAATGTCCGTAGACATTAACTTGGTTGAGGGTGAAAACTTTCAACTCTATTATAACTGAAGCTTGCAGGAAAATACAGCTTTATCATCTTTTGCTAATTTCTTACCATAGTATAGTTTATAAAGATGTTAGGGGAAACATACCTGTATATATCATGTAAAAAATAATTAAAAAGTAGTCATATTTTCGGCAATGACGAGAGGGATATTTTAGAAGTCAGAAGTTCAGAAAAGACAGCATTGGAGTTAAACAAAGGAGATGATTTTTTTAGATACTTTGATTTTCACAACATTTTGGTCTTAAAACTTGTTTTCTTCTTTCACACCTTTTTCATTTACACAATCTAGCAAAATTGCAGAGATTACTTTTTGCCCGGATATTTTAATATTCACTCATTATAGTGAGTAGAAATAAAAATGATGTTTCAGAACAATTTTGAACTTAGTTATGTTGCAGACTGGCTAGTTCTAGTCTAAACTTTTTTTTTTTTTCATGGAAGATGGGTTGTTGGACAAATTTCTTAATATTTTTGTTTTCTTTTTTTTTAAGATTTTATTTATTTATTTGACAGAGAGAGATCACAAGTAGGCAGAGAGGCAGGCAGAGAAAGGAGGAAGCAGGCTCCCCGCTGAGCAGGGAGCCCGATGCGGGACTTGATCCCAGGACCCTGAGATCATGACCTGAGCCGAAGGCAGCAGCTTAACCCACTGAGCCACCCAGGCGCCCCAATATTTTTGTTTTCTATAAGGGTTAGTTTCTTGTGATTTGGGAGAGAACACGTATTTCAGTCTTAATTTGCAAATTTTATATGTCAAGAAATTATAGCACCACTGTATAAACTTAGAGTGTTAGAAAGATGATCATAAAATTCTCTTGTTTTATTGAATTTCCTAGTTTCTCTCCTGAGTTCTGAATGGTAGTCAGATAGCATTTTTAATATGTTTTTAACTATGCATGTTATAGTATGTTAAAGATAATTGTGTAAAGCAAAGTCTTTTTCCTTGTAAAGTCTGTTTCTTTCTGGTAGTAGGAACATTTTCATTACCGTTCCTGTTTATAAGACTAGCTGCAGTTAGTGTAGAAAAATGTGTATCTCGGGTATCAGTGCACCAGAAAATTAAAAAAACAAAACAAAACAAAAACAAACCTGTACTTAAATGGCTCTGTTTTTCATGGCATATAATGTATGACCGTTTTGTGAATTATTAAAAAAATCATATGTGTACAATTTTATTTTTTCATTATTGTCTTGGTCTTCCATATTTATTCATTTATGTAATATGTACCATTTGTCAGTAAAATCACTGTGTATTTAAATGGCAAAAATGTATGTATATCTTTTTCACCCTGATGTTCATCACAGATCTTAATACAGTATCTTTCAAAAAATGTTAAATTACCTGAAACATATAAATATAAAACAATCCATGTAAATGTAACAACATAACAAACAAAATGAGACTAATAAAATAAATAAATAAATAAACACCTCTCTGAAACTGTCGGCACCCATTACCTTATCAAGCTTTTTGTGTGTAAATACTTAGTTCAGTAACATTTTTATTTATGCTTAGAGAATTTAATGGCTATAATTTTACAGCAGAATGCTATGAATCTATAAAATATAAAATTTATATTTTTTTCAAGTAGCTTTCTCTGCTTTCAATAATTATGTCTAATTTTCCAATTACTGCTAAGGATTAGGTTGAGGTAGTGTTTAGCTAGGACAGAAATACACAATCCGCACGACACTCGGGGACGGGGGATGTGTTCTCCTCAGCTCCAGGTTATCTGAGTGGGGCCTGGGGTGGCTGGAGTCCAGGGACTAGGGCCTGCGGCAGAGAGCAGCCTCGGGAATAGCCTCTAGCTGGGCTCCTCTGCAGCGGGCCTGAGCTGAGCGGAGTCTGATGGTGCGCCCTGCGGTCCCCGCAGGTGGCAAGCACAGTGAGCGACATCCAGCCCTTCCTGCTCCACTGCGACATGCTGAGCGCAGCCCCGGAGGCGCTCTCCCACCCAGACATCTCCTTCAGCAACCAGCCGCAGAGCGGGCCACTACTCATCGTGGACAAGGGCCCCGTGGAGCTGCCAGAGGAGGTCGTGGTCCAGGTGCCCAAGGAGCCCAGAGTGCAGCCCAAGGTGCGGCCAGCGGTGGGGAGAGGGGGTTGGGGGAGGCTGGGCAGGGACTCCTGGAAGGCTCCGCCCCAGGCAGTGCCCCAAATGTGTCTTCTCATTTGTTCTCGTCAGCATCCGCTCAATGAGGCTGATGTCTGTCTGCATCTAGCGGTCTCCCAGCAAGTCGTTGAACCCTGCATGCTTGTTCTGTGTTAGAGCCTCCTCATTATGCCAAAGTGTTTGACTTTAATTTCTGAATGGGTTTGAAATATCTCTGCAGTATCGCAGGAAATTTCAAATTACTTTTAGTGACCATTTCAACTATTGTAAAATGTGATGCTTGTAAAAGACAAATTTTAACATTTCTGATCATCTGCGTGTTTGGGGAAAGAAAAAAATCTCATCAATGGAAACTACCAAGTTTTTGAGGAGAGTAGGATGAACACATCTTGGTTGGGAATTGTGTATAGTCATTTAAAGCATAAAATCTGATAGAAAAGTGATAGTTATAAAAGCAACATAATTTTCTTATGAAAATGTTGACAGTGCTTTATAATATTGTCTTTGCACCTGGCAAATGCAGTGAATGACATCCATCTCTCTTTTTTTTTTCTTTTCTTTTTTTTTTTAAGAGAAGAGAGATCACAAGTAGGCAGAGAGGCAGGCAGAGAGAGAGGAGAAAGCTCTCTGCTCAGCAGAGAGCCCAATGTGGGGCTCGATCCCAGGACTCTGGGATCATGACCTGAGCCGAAGACAGAGGCTTTAACCCACTGAGCCACCCAGGCGCCCCTGACATCCATCTCTTGAAGCTCTAGTGAGAAATAGAATACTTGCAAAAATTCAATACTGTTCTTTTCCCCAATAATTTATCCAATACTTAGGCAATGTAATTTTTCTCACTAAACTCCATACTCCTTATCCCTCTTATTTCCTATAGGGAATATAATATAATATAATAAGTATAATGTGATATGTAATATACATTTTATTTATATACATGATATATTTTTATGTTAATGTTCTTTGATAATATTTAAACAATTGATAAACTTATATGAATGCAATATGTATATATTTCATATATATTTTTCATATATATTGTATATATGAAATACATTTATATTATATTACATTATATTATATACCATATTAACAGTTTTATTTGTAAACTACATGAAAAAGGCTGGGAAGCATTTGGCTAGGGGAACCATAATTAATCGAGTCTTTTCCTAAAACAGTGTCACCTCTCCTACTCCATAATTTCTTCAAGGGGATATTCACACAAGAAATACTGGCAAAGGAACACAAAATAGCACTGAGCTTATCTTCTTGACCCCATAACCGTATTCCCTGGTAAAATAAGCTGGAAAACTTGGTTTTCAGCTCAGGGACCAAGAGAAAAATATCGTAAACCCATCTGAGATGGATTTTTCAATTCTGACATGTAAGAGTTAAACCTCTTCAATTACTGCAGCTACATAGAAAGAGTAAGTGTGAGAGTGACTTGGCCTTCATGGTGGCTCTGTCTGCTCAGTCACCTAGTTCAGTCAATGGCCTAGAATCTTTCCATCCAGATTCGCATTCCTTCCTTGGTGTTGATGATTAGTGATGGGGAGTGCATGTACTTCCACAGAAGTGTGTGCAATTGTTTCTAGTGTGTTCAGCAAATTCAGGGAAAATGTATAGTAAACATTCTTCAAGAAATTCTTTTTTATTTTTTTTTCTTCTGCTCTTTGTTTTATCATTTCAAACCTGAAGTGTCTATATTGGATGCAGTCATATTTTTCACAAAATATGCTTCAACAGTTGCAAAATTTTCCTTATGATGTTGGCTTTTGATTTATATTTTAAAATAATAATACAAAATTAATATTATTTAAGTTCTTTCAATGCATGTACATTCATCACAGTTTCTAGTACTCCTGAGGAAGGAATCCAAAAACGAAGTTTAATTTTTGAGTAAATGTTATAAATGTTCAAGCCAGCAGCTAACATTTACACACACACACACACACACACACACACACACACGTCTGCTGGCAACTCAATTTTGAGGGGAAAAGAATCAGAATATCAGTCAGAATACTTTTTCCTATAGAACTTTTGCTAAGTAGTTGGCTGAATTTAAATGCTCCCCAACATTTATAGTTTAATAAGATTTTTCTATGTTACTAGCTTTTACTTTTTGCCATGTATGTGACAACTTTCAGTACAGTAATGGGTTCTAAATCATGCTTTTCTCTCAACTTACAAATAGGAAATTTTCATTATATTTTGCTTTAGACAGTAAAGAAAGCATAAGTATGTGATCTCATAAGTGGAGACTGAGGTAAACGTCATGTGATTTTAAAAGGAGCCTGCAGAATCATGTTAATCTGTTATAAGGAGACAATATTTTTTGAAAGTTGCTTTGGTGCAAAAGTAATTTTATTAGGTAAAGAGCATCTGAAGGTCATCTTCTAGTACTCCCTAAAGAAAAAATAAAGAAGAAAAAAAAGTAAATATTACAGGGGCATTATCTTTTCTGATACACAAGATGATACATACAGCTGGAATGCTTAGACACGTATTAAAAATGAAAGTGAAAGGAAAAATACCACATTACTTTGAGCTCTTCAAGTTGAAAAGACAGGAAGGAATGCAAACAAGCAGATGTCCAGTGAACTCTGGCTCCCTCCCCTTCTCCTTTCCTCCACATTTCTTAAAATAAAAACAACTGTTTGCTACAGAAGCAAGATAATTTAAGATACAGAAAACTCAGAAATCAATATAAAGACATATTAATGTAATTTTTAATTGAAAAATCAAATTGATGCTCCTTTTAAAAATGTTAACCTCTGTCCTATAGATAGCCAGAAAACTGAGGAGAAAGCCAACAAAAGCAATCCTAACAACATTAAAAAAAAAATCTTTTTATTGGCTTGAAATTAAACTTTGTCCTTTTTAAAATTTTATATTTATTTGACTCAGGATAGCTAATAACCGTTCTTAAGAGTTAATGAGTGTTTGGATTCACAGGAATTAGGACTTCACAGTAGAGCAGCAAAGCATAAAGAGTTTAAAAACATTGTTCTCAGAAGACATGTTTCTCTTTAGCACATTAAGGCAGAAGGAAGTCTGAGGTCAGATTGCCCAGTTAATGACTAGATATCAAGACTTTTCCTTGAAACCAAAGGAATGTAAATGTGTTTTTTATCAGGATTTTCCTTGGTTTAATTGTGATTCTCCTGCAGATGCATAAGTTCATTGAGATGATCTACAAATAACCCTCCTGCAAGCCACACATGGAGTGTGCAGAGTTCATAAGTGTGTTCTCTCAGAATGCAGCGAAAGCATTTAAATCTTGACAAGTTATAAAAAATGCTACCCTGTGCTCATTTTAGAGCTTACCTTTGGAAGAGCCAAAATGCTTTTACAAGGAACTTGTGTATTCTGTCCTTTGGGAGAATCAAATCAAACTCTGCCAACATTTTTTTTTTTTTTCTCATTTTTCCCGTTCTTGGGTTTTTATGTTTATAAATGGGAATGCTTTTATGATAATTGTAAGTAGAAAACTCCATTTGATTTGTTTTGTTACTTTAAACAAAAGTAAAATTGATCTAAATTATAAAATACCGGATGTTCCATAGTTCACTCTTGCCCTTTTTTATTTTTTTCAATGACACTGGATTGAGCATAAATGCCTACTGGATACTGGGCTAAGTGCTAGGAAGACACAGACAGGAAACTCAAACTCTGATCTCTCAGTGAGCACAGGGACACAATAGAGTACAGTGTGGCAGGTGCTTGCTAGGGGATATCTCTACCCTATAACCAAAGAGGCCAAGAACCTTGTTTGTAAAAGTATGATAAACAAGATTTGGTCTGTGCATGTTCGAGAGGGAGTTCTAAATGTAGGAGCAGAAATTATATGCAGAAGTGGTTAAAGATCTGATCAGGATGGCATGATACAACGTTATGTAGAGTTGAGACTTTTGCTGATGGGAGTGAGGGAACAATTAAATTAATCTTACAGGCATTAAGCAAAGACTGACCTGCTGCCTGTATTAACAATGAACTAGAGACTTCAAGACTGGAGATAGGAAGGTTATTCTATTGAGTCAAGTAAGAAATGATGCTAGCCCTGACTCAAAGTGTGAGTGACATCAGTAATAATGAGGATCAATGGACAGGAGTTAGAGATTCATGGGATATGTGACTAGACCAAAAGAAAACTCAGAGGACAAAGAGGTTTCTAGCTTAAAAGAAAGCATGATGAGTGACTGTACCACTTACTGAGGTAAGAAAGACAAGATGAAACAGAGAATGATGGTGTGGAATGATGGTGTTATAAGTAACTTCTTCAACACATTCCTTTGAATAGAAACGTAACTTTTGGGCCCCTAATTAAAAGCTCGTAACTTAAATACAATATACAAATCTGAAAAAAAAGAATAAAAAAAAGATAATTAAAAATGCCATTTGTTGATCATAAGTGATGCTCATCAAAAAGAAAAAAAAATTACCATTCTTTGTGAAGCATTCTGTTTTGTCTTAGGTATGATAAGATACTCTGTAACAAAAGAGCATCTCCTAGGATTTTTATTCAATCCTTCCTTCTACCTCCCAGTGATACCTAGCAGGGTTAGAGTGGAGCCAAGATTAGATCTGACTTTGAGCTCTCTTGTGTTCCCATGAGGCAAGAAACAGAATTCTTATTATAGATACTTCTCAGTACTGTGGCAGGGAAACAGGTTGAACAATTCGGACAGTTGATCTGCAGTTTAGATATATTTGACATTCATTCAGTTCTTAGTACAATGTTCCATGTCAAAATTTGGAAGAATACAGGACACTAATTTGCTCATATTTGTACTCATTAACAGCATAACATGACACATCATTTAATAAAATAATAACAAAAGATAATCTCCATGTATCTTTTGAGACTACCTCAAAAATGATCCTTGATTTATACTCTTGCCTAATTAAAACTGATTATGAGACTAGCCTATCCTTTGATGACATTGTAGAGGGATACTATT